AGATCGTTTTTTCATGTGTTTTTTGAGGAGGGCTCAAGCGAACGCCACACTTCCGAAGTCTCTTGTCATCAATTTAGGAATTTAAATGCTAAACGGTGTGGCCCTTTTAAAATAACGGTTTCGCTTGAGACTTCCTGGAGCAACAATTTCGAACGATTTCGAAATTTTCGGGTTCGATTTCGAAATAGCGCTCCCGCCCCTCCAATCGAGAATTCGAAACCTTTCTGGTTCGGTTTCGAAACGGCGCTCCCGTCCAGGACTTCCTCCGAAACAGATTTCGGAGCATTTTGGGTTCGATTTCGACATGGCGCTTCCGCCCAGGACCTCCTGAAAGCTGGACTTCGACACCCTTCTGGCTCGATTTCGAAATGGCGCTCCCGCCTACGACTCCCTCGACAATAGAGGTCGGCACTTCTTCAGCCCGAATTCGCAATGGCGCTTCTGCCTAAGACTTGACCCGGTGGAAGCACGAAACGGGTCAACATGTCTGTAGCGCCAATGCGCCAAGCCTCAGTGCGACTTCAGACACAGACGCGCGGGCTAGCACGCCGAGGACCCGGTCATCCCGACACGGCCCCTCCGGCGCGCCACACGCTCGACCCCATGGCAAGTAGAACTTGAGCGCGCGCGCGCGAAGCGCGCGATGATTCTAGCATGAAAAATGATTAGGGGGGAGGTGGAGGAGGAGGAGGAGGAGGAGGAGGAGGAGGAGGAAAAGGAAAAGGAGGAGGAGGATGACGGATGACGAAGGCAGGAGGAGGAGGAGGAGGCGGAGGAGGAGGAGGATGAAAAGTAGGTTGGAGGAGGCGGAGGCAGGAGGCTGGAGCCGCAGCCTTCTTCTCCGAATTCTGCCGCTGGTTGCGGTGTAGTCCCGACCTTGTCTACACCGCTTAGGGGAGGAGGTTCAAAACTAATGATTCACCGACCCTGGCTGCCCCCCCATCCCAGCTGAAACCGAGCTCGGATTTGCAGAAGGGGGCTGGCCCATGCCTGCCTGATTGCTCCTCGCGCCACAGCCTCTTGCAACACCATGTCATCAAGAGGCCAGTCCAGTCCATCCGTTCGATAGGTTTTGCCAGCGAGCGCGTACTTGTGACTGTCCAGCACAGTTCATGCGACGTCTTGATCTGACTCTCATGCTTCTATTGGCTCTCAGCAGCACCCACTTTTGAAGTGTATTGTGATCAGCGGGGGAACGAATTCGAATGAGTCACGTGGGTCTTGCGATGAACTAGGTTGTCACAGTGCCATCCCTGGCAGGACTTGACGACTGGGAGTTGAGCTGGCCGAGGCCGAAGAAGAAGTGGTGCTGCCTCCACGAGGGCCGAGGGTGTGAGGAGGAGGAGGAGAAGGAAGAGGAGAGTTTCGATTGCAAGGCCGCCCTGGAGACGGGGGACTGGAAGGAGCATTGGAGAATGGAGTGGTGCTGCGAAAAGGAGAAGATTGGCTGCACCACTACGACTCCGAAGCCCTACGACTGCGCCGCTGCTGAGCAGAACTCCAAGTCTGCTTGGTCCGACAGCAAGACACACTGGTGCTGTGCGCATGAGCTGCGTGGGTGTCCACCGTTCAACTGTTCGGACACGTCCAGCGCCAGCTCCTGGTCGCTGGCGCAGAGTGTCTACTGCTGCGAGACCGCGAACGTGGGCTGCACCACCACGACCACGACGACACCTCCGCCCTACAACTGCCAGGAGGGTCTGGCGCAGTGGATGACAGAGTGGCCCGAGGACAAGAAGGACGGGCGGCCAGAAGCATCCCCTTACCCCATGGAAGGACGCTCAGCCTATGAAGGCCCGGCGTTCGAACATGGCCCCCTCGTGATGTGCGCGGAAGGTCATCCAGCAGTCGCCCAGGAGACCGCTGGAGACCGCCGGTGATCGTGGAAGACCGCCGAAGGTGGTAGCAAGGGGTTCATGGCAGAATTACACGCCGGTCGTTGAAAGTAGGTATTGTTGGATTCCCGGATCCCACTCTATTTCAAACGCCTTCCTATTTTAAGAATCGGTATGATTTTGCCGCGTTGTGTTATTCTCTGGGAGGCCTGAACCCAATCTATTTCATCCGCCTTCCTACCTCATGTTTTTACCTACCTCTTCCGGTCGGCGTGTGCGCAATGTAAACGGCTCTCGAGGGGGAAGGGGAGACAACTCTAAAGGGGGAGGAGTAGGCTGACAGCCTCACTCAGGGGCAACGATAGGGGGGGATAGGCATAGGGGGATGCATCGACCCCCAATCGCCCATCGATCGCCGATAGGGGCCCGATAGCACCACCCCGCCCAGGAAGGTGCGGATTACTATCGGGGTCAATCGCCGATCTATCGACGATGTATCGCCGATTCCAGGTCGATGCATCCCCCCCTATGCCCATCCCCCCCCTATCGTTGCCCCTCACTCACTGGCAGATCGTCACCAGGGGGGATCGCGGGATGTTGCGTGCTGGCCAGAGGACTGGTGCTGCTCTCACGAGGCCAGGGGCTGCCCGCTGTTCGACTGCAACGCCTCGGCATCGGCACCGGACCAGTGGCCGAAGGTTCGAGGGAAAACAGCGCATTTGATGGGTGGAGCATGCTCATTTGAGAACCATCAGGGCACTCAGAAGGGGTAGTGGAGAGGGAGAGCACGGCGGTGGGGAGGGGGGTGTGGGAGGCTGGAGGAGGAAGGGATGTTGGGCAGGCTTTTGCACACTCTCCTCCTTCCTGGCAGGAGCCAGGAGGACGGAGAAGGCGAGGGGAAGCCGTCTGCGAGGGGCTGCCGGAAGGCCGCAGGAAAGAGGCGGGGCATGCTTGATGTCTTTGAGGTCTTCTCCTGTCAAACGCCAGGTCGAGCAGGAGTGGTGCTGCGAGAACAAGCAGGTCGGGTGCACGACCACCACTACCACGACCACGACCTCGCCTCTGTTCGACTGCCTGAGCGGAGACCATGACTGGCTGCACCTGTGGCCGCACGCTCAGCGGGAGTACTGCTGCCTGCACGAGGGCCGCGGGTGCCCAGACTACAACTGCACCCTGCACGTGGGCGGCGTCCTGGACGTCCAGCAGCGGTCCGTGGAGCTCGCCGTCGGGATGGAGGTTGCCTACGTCAGCCCCTCCGGGACTTTGGAGATCTGCACGGTCGTGCAGGTCGACGTTGACAGGGTGATGGTCCACTACGCCTCCGGCGTCGCAGAGGACGAGTGGCTGCCGCTGGGTTCTGAGAGTATCTTCCGCGTGCAGGTGCCGGAGTCCTGGTCCGAGACGCAGGCGTGGTGGTGCTGCACCAACGAGCAGGTCGGCTGTTCAACGTCGACGACCTCCACGTCCAGGACCACGACGACCAGCAGCACCTCGACCGCGACAAGTACTTCGACCACGGGCGACAGGGCCACCGCGACGACGACGGCGGCGTCGGTGTTCGCAACCCCGTCGCCTGGCTCGGAGGAGGTGAGCTTGCCTTTCGACTGCAAGGAAGGGTTCAGCAATTGGCGCGAGGTGTGGCCCGAGGACAAGAAGGACTGGTGCTGCTCGCACACCGGCCGCGGCTGCCCCTACAGCTGCACAGAGGACTACGCCGACTGGGAGCTTATGTGGTCCGACGCCCAGAAGGAGTGGTGCTGCTGGAAGGCTGGCCGCGGCTGCCCTCAGAGGGCCTCGGACGCGTACGACTGCGACGCCGGTTACGATAACTGGCAGGCCGGTTGGTCGGATGGAAAAAAGGAGTGGTGCTGCCAGCATGCGCGCTTGGGCTGCGCCACGTCTTCGGATCCCTACGACTGCGACGCCGGGTATAACAACTGGCAAGAGGGCTGGTCTGGGAGCAAGAAGGAGTGGTGCTGCGATAACGAAGGTAAGGCCTGCCTCCCGACCACGACCTCTTTGCCCTTCGACTGCGGGGCTGGCTACACGAACTGGCGCGCGGGCTGGTCCGATAGCAAGAAGCGCTGGTGCTGCCAAAACGAAGGCAGGGCCTGCCCCACAACCACTACCTCGCCGCCCTACGACTGCGCGGCCGGCTACGCGAACTGGCAGGAAGGCTGGTCTGTCAGCAAGAAGCACTGGTGCTGTGGCAACACAGGTATCGGCTGCGATACCACCACCTCTTTGCCCTTCGACTGTGCGGAGGGCTTCTCGAACTGGCGCGCGGGCTGGTCCGATAGCAAGAAGCACTGGTGCTGCCAGAACGAAGGCAGGGCCTGCCCCACAACCACCACCTCGCCGCCCTACGACTGCGAGGCCGGCTACGCGAACTGGCAGGAGGGCTGGTCTGTCAGCAAGAAGCGCTGGTGCTGCCAGAACGAAGGCAAGGCCTGCCCCACAACCACCACCTCGCCGCCCTACGACTGCGAGGCCGGCTACGCGAATTGGCAGGAGGGCTGGTCTGTCAGCAAGAAGCATTGGTGCTGTGGCAACGCAGGCATGGGCTGCGACACCACCACCTCTTTGCCCTTCGATTGTGCGGAGGGCTTCTCGAACTGGCGCGCGGGCTGGTCCGATAGCAAGAAGCGCTGGTGCTGCCAGAACGAAGGCAGGGCCTGCCCCACAACCACCACCTCGCCGCCCTACGACTGCGAGGCCGGCTACGCGAACTGGCAGGAGGGCTGGTCTGTCAGCAAGAAGCGCTGGTGCTGCCAGAACGAAGGCAAGGCCTGCCCCACAACCACCACCTCGCCGCCCTACGACTGCGAGGCCGGCTACGCGAATTGGCAGGAGGGCTGGTCTGTCAGCAAGAAGCATTGGTGCTGTGGCAACGCAGGCATGGGCTGCGACACCACCACGCCTGAGCCGCACGACTGCAATGCTGGCCTGGACACCTGGTCCGACACGTGGTCCGACCAGAAGAAAGCGTGGTGCTGTCAGGCCAAGCGTGTCAACTGCGGTGCAGCAGTCACGAGCACGGCAGCGCCAGTCACAACGGTCACAGCAACAACACTCACAACGAGCAGCACGATCACTGTGACGTTGCCTCCGTATGATTGCGATGATGGATACGCGAATTGGCAAACGGAATGGTCCCCAGCCAAGAAGCGTTGGTGCTGTGACGAAGAAGGCTTATCTTGTGAGACCATGACGTCGCTCCCGTACGAGTGCGAACCCAGAGGCCAAGCGTGGCAGGAGCAGTGGTCAATGGACAAGACAGACTGGTGCTGTCGGCATCAGGGGATTGGGTGCGACTCGTCCACCACGACCACCTCGCCGAGCTTCGACTGCGAGGAAGAGGATTTGAAGTTGCTGTCTCGATGGTCGGACGAGAAGCGGGACCTCGGGGGTGAACCAGGGGCCCCGACCAGACCAGGCCAGCCCCCGCTCCCGCTCCGGCCTGGCCGGTCGGGGGGCTCCCTCTTGCGAGAGGTGGCGGCGCGCGAGGGAGGGCAGTGGGCGAGGGGCAGCCCTCTAAGATGGACCCCTCCTCTTCCCATCCTCCTCCTCCTCCTCCTCCTCCTCCTCCTCCTCCTCCTCCTCCTCCCCTCCTCCTCCTCCTCCCGATGGACCCTTCTAGGATGGACCCCCACCCGATTACCTCAGAATGTGCGGGGCGTTTACGACGGGTCACGTGCCGCGCCGGCGCGGCGACGACCCCAGCGCGGGCGTTCAGGAGTGAAGGCCACTGACGCCTGGGCTGGGCCGAGCTTGAACGGTCCCAGCTGTCTGAGGACGGGAATCGGCGTTGCCCCAACATACTAGTACTATGTGTGCGTCGGCCCCCCAGGGGCGACGCGCGCGCCGAGAAATCTCATAGTGTATGCGTCGTGGCGGGCGCTTTCTGGCCACACCGCTCGGGAAAAGATATACTACAAGATGTGTATACTATATGTTGGGGTCGGTTGCACGCCTCCAAGGAGGACATATAGTACTAGTATGTCTCTGTGCGTCCCAGGGAATGCTTCAGTATTCAAGATTGAACGACCTACGGTACCAGTGTGGCTTCGACCATTCAAAGCTTCGTGGCAGCATCCTCGCACGGCAGCCTGTGACCCCAGGGTGGCGGCGGCCGCTGGCGGCCGTCCGTCGCGCCCCACCTACCCGCACTGTGCGGGGTCGTTTCCTCCGAGTGGCGCCGGCGCTGGCGCGGGGCCGTGTCGAGTGGCTCGGTCGCGTTCCGGCGCCAGCAGCGCTTCGAGTTCATCGCCCATTGCAGGCGCTGCCACTCGGAGGCTGCGAACGATCTTCGTGGTGCCATGAACCAATGTCCACGCCAGCGCGACATCAGAGGCAGAGGTTGGCACCAGCACCAGTGTCGGTGGTTGCCTCCACCGACGGGAGATGGATCCTGATCTCAGTGATGGTGGTGATGCTCTGGCCTCTCAGGTGGCCGAGATATTGCCACCGGCAAAGCAGCACCAGAATCCAGCATCAGCTTCCCCCAGTGGATGGAAGCCGTTGTGTTGGTGTTGGTGCCATTTTCTGGTTGTTGACCGCGAATATCAACCTCGCCTCCCGATCCTCCCGATCCCGCCGATCGGACTCATCTCGAACGCCAGGTGCAGTTCCGCGGCGCTATGGTCCCTGGCGGACCCGAGCTGAACCCCAAAAGATAGGCTGCGGAGCGAGAGACAGAGACTCTGGCGAGGACATTCCCCATGACTCCGCAAATGCATGATGATGGGTCTGTTTTCCACCACCACCACCATAAGTTGGAGGGGGGAAGGAGGTGGAGGATGAGGAGGAGGAGGAGGAAGAAGAAGAAGAAGAGGAGGAGGACCCCCTCCCCCTCCTACTTATGGTGGTGGTGGTGGAAAACAAGCCCACCACATGAAGAATGAATTCGAAAACGTGGCGCCCGTCTCACAGTCGGGAAATTTTGGACAGCGTGTCGCTCCGCTGGTTCTGGCCCGCCACGCTTCGGCGCGACACGCTATCCACTTCCCAACCTCCGGGCGTGAACGTCCCGAGCCTTTTCGAGCCGCCCTCCCCGCGGAGCGGAGCGACACGCTACCCGCTTGCAAGGGATAGTGTCGCCGGGGTCGCCGCGGCGACACGCTAAGCAAAGGGTCCCGACCGTATGGTGGCCCAGAGCCCTGGGCCTCGACTTGGCACAAGCTCGTGACACATCGCGGCCAGGGCTGTCGCCGTCATGCCTCCGCGGGACTTCTCGGGCCAGATCGGTTCGTCAAGGCCATGGGCTCCAGGACGGTGCGGAAACGCCCGTCCAGATTTTTCCAAGAGGCCCGGGTGCGAGGGAAGTTCGCCGAGTCTGGGGCGAGAGCGCCCGTGGAGGTGTCTCCACGAGGCCCGGATCCGGGGGAGAGACGCCAAGTCCTGTCCGCGCCCCGATGCCCGGGGCCCCGCCCGGTCCTCGGCCTGGGTCTCGCTGTTCCCCGAGGACTGGTGCTGCAGCCGCGCGGGCCGAGGCTGCGACGGGGCGACCACCGAGGCGCGACGGGCGCCCCTGCAGCACCACTGCCGTCATCGTCCTCCCCCCTGCTCTTCCTCCTCCTCCTCCTCCTCCTCCTCCTCCTCCTCCTCCTCCGTCTCGCAGTGGAGGAGCAGGAGTAGGAGGAGCACGGAGTGGGGAGTAGGAGGAGGGTGGGAGAGGATGGTGATGATGATGCTGCTGCTGATGATGAACATGATGATGATGATGATGATGATGATGATGATGATGATGATGATGATGATGATGATGATGATGATGATGATGATGATGATGATGATGATGCTGGTGATGATGATGATGATGATGATGATGATGATGATGATGATGATGATGATGATGATGATGATGATGATGATGATGCTGGTGATGTTGATGATGGTGCATGTGCTGATGAGTAAGCTGAGGACGATGACGAATCCACAGCATGATGATGATGATGATGGCAACGACAATGGTGATGGCCGTGGCTGCCTCCTCGCCTCGCGCTTGGCGCTGGCTCACCTGTTTCATGTCATTCGGCACTCGCTGCGTCCGCAGTCCTAAGCGCTATCAGTTGCCTGCACTGGACCCGCTTATTGATACAGATGTGGGCGCATTTTCGTATCATGCCGCATTCTCCTAGTGGCCGGTGTTTGTTTACTCTTGGCTTGGGCTGGGGCTTTCAGCAGCCGGCGCGCGTGACATTAGTTTTAAACCATGCTGCCCACTCTCTCCCTTCTGGGTCTTCTTCTTTCATCCTCTTCCCTCCTCCCTCTTGTCGCAAGTGCATTGTCGATTTGTTGTTCAGGCCATGATTCATTCCACGAGTTTGCCTACTGCAGGTCGGCTTGTGTGGTGTTCCCTGTTTGCCAAACGTCTTTTTGTTTCGCGATGTGGTTGTGTCATCCGTGGTATTCGGCGTGGAAAAATGTGGTCGTGGTGATGTGCTTATGGTGAACACGACTACGCATATGTAGTTCGGAGGTTTGGGGGTGAGATCGCAGTGGAACGGAGACCCCCAACCGGGAAATCGTTTCGTTTCGTTCGTGTCGTGCGTGCGGGCGAGGCGAAGCTGCGTGGGCGCGCGAGAGGAATGAACTCGCCGTTGCTAGGGCGAAGTCAAGACAAATGATTCTCCTCCGCCCGCCCGCCCGTCCGTCCGTCCGTCCGTCCGTCCGGCGGTGGCTCGCGGTGTCCCGCGGTGTCCCTTGGTGTCCCGTGGTGTCCCGTGGTGTCCGCCGTTGCTAGGGCGAAATCAAGACAAATGATTCTCTCCCGCCCGCCCGTCCGTCCGTCCGTCCGGCGGTGGCTCGCGGTGTCCCGCGGTGTCCTTTGGTGTCCCGTGGTGTCCCGTGGTGTCCCGTGGTGTCCCGTGGTGTCCCGTTGAGTGAGATCGATAGTGAGATCGATAGTGAGATCGACAGTGAGATCGATACTGAGATCGATGTGGTGCCCCGAGGTGTCCCGTGGTGTTCCGTGGTGTCCTGTGGTGTCCCGTTGAGTGAGATCGATAGTGTTACGTCGGGCGTGTCCCCCGGCAAAGCAACCTAAAAGCGATGTGTATAAGCATATCTGGAAGCATTCCCCTTAAGATTCAGGTGAGAATCCAGTTGTCGAATTCTGCTGTTCTCGCAGTCGCAGTCTCATTCGCAATGACAGTCGCAGTGGCAACGGCCTTAGGATCCAATGGAATCCTAAGGATTCCTAAGGATTCCTGAGGATGCTTAACTAGGCCTACGGATTCCTCAGGATGCCTACGGATTCCTAAGGATTCCTAGGGATTCCTAAGGATTCCAATGGATTCCTACGGATGCCTCAGCCTGCTTCAGTTTCAGCCTCAGCCTCAGCCTGCCTCGGCTTGCCTCAGCCTCAGCCTCAACCTGCCTCGGCCTCAGCCTCAGCCTGCCTCAGCCTCAGCCTCAGCCTGCCTCGGCCTCAGCCTGTGTCAGCCTCAGCCTCAGCCTGCCTCAGCCTCAGCCTGCCTCAGCCTCAGCCTCAGCCTCAGCCTCAGCCTCAGCCTGCCTCGGCTTGCCTCAGCCTCATCCTCAGCCTGCTTCGGCCTCAGCCTGCCTCGGCCTCAGCCTGCCTCAGCCTCCCCTCACCTTGTCTCAACTTCGGCCTGCCTCGGCCTCATCCTCAGCCTCAGCCTCAGTCTCAGCCTCAGCCTGTCTCGGCCTGAGCCTGCCTCGGCCTCAGCCTCAGCCTGCCTCAGCCTCAGCCTCAGCCTCAGCCTCAGCCTGTCTCAGCCTCAGCCTGCCTCAGCATCAGCCTCAGCCTCAGCCTCAGCCTGCCTCGGCTTGCCTCGGCCTCAGCCTCAGCCTGCCTCGGCCTCAGCCTCAGCCTCAGCCTGCCTCAGCCTCAGCCTCAGCCTGCCTCAGCCTCAGCCTGCATCAGCCTCAGCCTCAGCCTCAGCCGCAGCTTGCCTCAGCCTCAGCCACAGCCTCAGCCTCAGCCTCAGCCTGCAGCTTCAGCCTCAGCCTCAGCCTGCCTCGGCAGCCTCAGCCTCAGCCTCAGCCTCAGCCTCAGCCTCGCCTCAGCCTCAGCCTCAGCCTCAGCCTCAGCCTGCCTCGGCCTCAGCCTCAGCCTCAGCCTGCCTCAGCCTGAGCGTCAGCCTCTCAGCCTCAGCCTGCATCAGCCTCAGACTCAGCCTCAGCCTGCCTCAGCCTCAGTCTCAGCCTGCCTCAGCCTCAGTCTGCCTCAGCCTCAGCCTCAGTCTGCCTCGGCCTCGCGGCAGGGTCCGCATGCGTCCCCCCGCCCATTTCGGCACACCCCTCACGAGGATCGTGGCCCCATAGGGAGTTCGACCGAAGGCCCCAACGGCAGGGTCCGCATGCGTCCCCCAGCCCATGTCGGCACACCCCTCACGAGGATCGTGACCACATATGGAGCTCCACCGAAGGCCCCAGCGGCAGGGTCCGCATGCGCCCCCCGCCCATCTCGGCACACTCACGAGGATCGTGGCCCCATAGGGAGCTCCACCGAAGGCGCCAGCGGCAGGGTCTGCATGCGGTCCCCCCGCCCATTTCGGCACACCCCTCACGAGGATCGTGGCCCCATAGGGAGTTCCACCGAAGGCGCCAGTGGCAGGGTCCGCATGCGTCCCCCCTTCCCATTTCGGCACAGCCCTCACGAGGAGCGTGGCCCCATAGGGAGCTCCACCGAAGGCCCCAGCGGCAGGGTCCGCATGCGTCTCCCCGTCCATTTCGGCACATCCCTCACGAGAATCGTGGCCCCATAGGGAGCTCCACCGAAGGCGCTCGCGGCAGGGTCCGCATGCACCCCCCCGGCCCATGTCGGCACACCCCTCCCGAGGGTCGTGGCCCCGTAGGGGGCTCCACCGAGAGCGGTAACCACAGCGCGGCACTGATCTTGAAGAGACGTCGCCACGCGTTCCTCTCCTTCTCCTCCTCCTCCTCCTCCTCCTCCTCCTCCTCCTTCTCCTCCTCCTCCTCCTCCTCCTCTCCCCTCCCCCTCCTCCTTTCTCCTCCCTGCGTTTCCCCCACCCAGTACAGCGTTTCGTGGCCCGAGAGGGAGCTCCACCGAAGGCCCCAGTGGCACCGCCCGCAGGCGTCACCCCCACCCAGCAGAGCCGTTTCGTGGCCCGATAGGTCGCCCCACCGAAGGCCCCAGTGGCACCGCCCGCATGCGTCACCCCCACCCAGTACAGCGTTTCGTGGCCCCATAGGGGGCTCCACCGAAGGCCCCAGTAGCACCGCTCGTATGCGTCAGCCCCCGCACAGTGCAGCGTTTCGTGGCCCCGTAATTAGGGAGCTCCACTGGAGGCCCCAGTGACACCGCCCGCATGCGTCACATTCACCATAGCGTTTCGTGGCCCCATAGGGGGCACCACCGAATGCCCCAGTGGCACCGCCTGCATGTACTCTCATGCGTTTCCCGCACCCATTACTCTGATTCGTTGTTTTATCTGCAGCTCCACCGAGGGCCCCAGTGGCGGCCCCGCCCCAATGCGGCGCACCCCGCACACTTTTCGCGGACCTGTAGTGCGTTCCGCCTAAAGCACCAGTGGCAGCTCCCGCATGGCGGTCCCGCCCCACATCGGCACACCCTTCGCATGCTTCGTTGCCCCATGGGGAGATCCCCCGAAGGCGGTACCCGCAACGACGGTATTCACAACTGCATGCGGTTGGGTCCTTCGCCAGGATAATGTTTCTCTCTGTGTTTTCGTGACTCGGTTTTGAAAGCCTTACGACACCTGAGGTTTTTGACAGATTTCGGCATGCGCGCGCGACGACGCGCGCGTGTGCACTTCGTCCCATTTGTTGCAAGGGGTTCTTGACAGCTGATGATCTTTGATCGACGAGTGTGCGCGCATTTTATTGTTTGCAGAGGATGGGGGTGGCCGAATTCCGGCCTGGCTGGGATGTTACGAATTCATGTTTAGGATGGACGATGAGGCAGAGTCATACGAAAATTCCAATACGAAAAGGTGAGCGGTTAAGTCCAGGGGGGGTTGACGCCATGGAGATTTCTCTTGGCCGCTAACGACCCAGAGGTGTGTGCGTGTGCGTGTGTGTGTGTGTGTGTGTGTGTGTGTGTGTGTGTGTGCGGGTGCGCGTGTGTGTCTGTGTGTGTGTGTGTGTGTGTGTGTGTGTGCGTGTGGGCGTGTGTGGGCGCGCGCGCGCGCGCGCGCGTGTGTGTGTGTGTGTGTGTGTGTGTGTGTGTGTGTGTGTGTGTGCGTGTGTGTGTGTGTGTGTGTGTGTGTGTGTGTGTGTGTGTGTGTGTCTGTGTGTGTGTGTGTGTGTGTGTGCCCGAAGCCCCGAATCATACATATTCCTCTTTCTATATTTTTACAAGCCCGGGCGGCCGCAAAACCCCGCACCCCCCCCCCCCCCCCCCAAAACCGGACTCCTGGGATCCTGGGGCTTTGGGACCCTCCGGACGCCCATTGAAGCGGTCCCGAGTGCCTCAAGAGCGCTCCAAGACCGGACTCCTGGGATCCTGGGGCTTTGGGACCCTCCGGACGCCCATTGAAGCGGTCCCGAGTGCCTCAAGAGCGCTCCAAGACAGGCACAAAGCGCTCCAAGACGCCAAAGATAGCCCCAAGACAGCCTCAGGAGCCCCCAAGACGCCCCAAGCGGCCCCAAAGAAGCCTCCCAAGACGGCCCCGGGAGGCCGAAATGGTCAATTTTCCAATGTGTTTTTCGATGTTTTCTGCTTTCTCGCCATTTTAGCTTTCCGACGCTCCAAGACAGAACTAGAGGCCCTCAAGAGCGCCCCAAGATGGCCCGGGGGGCCCCCAAAACGGCCCCAACACGGCCCCAAGACGGCTCTGGAGCGCCCCGAAACAGCCCAAGAGGCGCCCAAGAAGGCCCAAGAGGGCCCCGAGAAAGCTTCAAACGAGCCCCCACAGGGCGATCAAAAGTTCAAACATCTAACTTTCCGCCCCAAGTGGGCCCCAGGAGGCCCCAGGAGGGCCCCAAGAGGCCCCAAGAGGCTTCCAAAGGCCCCGAGGACTCCCAAAAAGAACCCACGAGGCCCCAAAATGGCTCTCCAAAAGGCAGCCAAAACGGCCCCCCAAGAGGCTTCAAAACTGCTGAATCGCCCCACTTGACCGCCACCTCCGGAACGGCTTCGCTGCGCTGCTCCGTTGTTTGCCAGACAGTGGCATCCCACGCAAAACACCAAAATGCTTGAAATCCCGGGTTCGCAACCAAATTCCCGGGAAATCGGTTGCGAACCCGAGATTCGGCACATTTCCCCGAGACGGCTCTTCATTATCCCTCTCCCTCCTCCTCTTCCTCCTCATGATCTGGCAGTCCTTGGAGCCGCAGCCCCCTGGTCTGTTTCCATATGTGATCGCAGGGCATCTCCGTTTGTCTCACCCCCATGCGCAAGTCGAGACAGCACGCCGCCCCAATGCGTGCCTTACCTTACCTTACCTCATGATATTCCTCCCTTCGCCGCGCCTCCCTAAATCGTCCTCCACTTCTTTCCCGCCCCTTCTGTCCGACGTTTTGTCTTTCCGGAGCCTCCACGGCCGCTCTCATCGCCGCTGATCGGTCCGCTGGGACATTCTCATGGAGTCCCAGTGGCGCGCGGACCAGCAGAGCGAGGGCGCGAGCAAGTAAGGTGCAGGTCCGGGAACTGGGCGCGAACCGGCCGCGGTTCAAAGACCGTGGAGGGCCGCGCTAGACGCCAACGCGCGCAAGGGTTGAAGGACCAAGGTGCATGGCGCGAAGCGCCAATGCAGTCTTGTATATATATATATATATATATATATATATAGGTGCACGCATCTATGTGTTGATACGGCACTCGTCATGCTTTGCATGGAAGGGGAGTGTGATTGCCCTCGAGAGGGGGCCAGAGTGGGGCCATTGGGACCCAGAGGGGGTCGGCCGCCTGCGTGTCAGGTGCCCGAGGTGTCAGTGACCTCGACCTCCTCAGTGACCTCGACGTCTTCGGTGACTTCGACGAGCCGCACACAGCTCAAGCCCACCGTGCTGCCGCAGGACCTATCCCACGGCGGGTGTTGCCCCCCATTGTCACTCTTACTCTCCTCCTCCCCCCCTCCTCCTCCTCCTCCTCCTCCTCCTCCTCCTCCTCCTCCTCCTCCTCCTCCTCCTCCTCTTGCTGGCGCAAAAATCACCTGAGGACGCAACACTGTTAGAAGAGATGGTTAGGCGCCGCCTGGGGCCTGCTTGACAGGGCCCGCGGTGAGCGGTCGCGTGTGGCCATGCTATCTCGCTGCTCCGTAAGCGAGTGTGTCGGCAGCGTCTATTTGCGATGCTTCCTCCTCCTCCTCCTCCTCCTCCTCCTCCTCCTCCTCCTCCTCCTCCTCCTCCTCCTCCTCCTCCTCCTCCTCTTTGCTCATCCTCCAGGACTCCCCTCGGGGATCACGAAGCCAGCAAGCCTGGCCCACCACGGTGTTGCGCACCGGCACCGGCCGTGCGCCTCGCACCCCCGGTTTTCGGCGCCCGCCTCGCCACCTGCTTCTCATGATTGCCGGCGGCACCACTACACGTGGTTCATTTCGAAATCTTCGAAAGTTCTTTGAATTTTTTGGGGGGCCAAGATCCTTGCATTCCTGACTGTTCCATCCCGGGCCTCTTTCTGGCCACCAGGGGGCCAGGAACACGTCGAGACGAGCAGAGTCAGAAAGGAGCACGACCAGAAAGGAACGACGTGTACTGTTCCCCTTGGATCAAGGGGAACACTATCGGCACCGTCCTCGCGCAGGCCCAGCACTTCGGCGCGCGGAGGGCCGGCGGGTGCGAGACGCACGTCGCCGCCGACGGCACGCCCAGGTCGGCCGAGAGGGCAGGCCTCGGCGGCTTCCCCACGGGGCGCGGCGCCCGAGGAGGCTCCGGGCGGAGCCGCGTCCGTGGCCCTCGCCCTCTTGTGGGGGTCCCCCTCCTCCTCCTCCTCCTCCTCCTCCTCCTCCTCCTCCTCCTCCTCCTCCTCCTCCTCCCCTCCTCTCCTCCCCCTCCTCCCCTCCTCCTCCTCCTCCTCCTCCTCCTTCTCCTCCCCTTTCCTCCTCCTCCTCCTGCTGAGCCATTCCTCTCGGAGAAGCGGGGCAGCGCCGCTGACCGCGAAATCCCCCAAGACCTCACCGCACGGTCCGTCAGCGCACGGCGTTGGGACCTCGGGTGCTCTTGCCGCCCGAGACGTCCTCGGAGAGCGACCCGAGTCCCCAAGCCGTGCGGTGACCCCGAATCCCCAGCGGCTCACCACACGGTGTGGTCACCACCCCGTCTGGGGGCCCCCGACCTCTGCTCGGTCGTGTCGTTTCTGGCGTCCTCCGCGCTGGCAGCTGCGATATTTTGGCCATTCTCGTTCATTCGAGTGCATCTGCACCTGGGGAACACCGGGAGCAGGCCGCATCCGTGGCTGACCGCATCGCGGCTGCCGACCTGCTCGCTGTGCCATCTGTGGACTTCAACATGAAACCAGACGACGACGCGCTGGCGCCCCTCTGGGCTGTCGCTGCCATTGCCGACCACTGTGGCGTGGCTGTCACGTACCGTGTGAGCCAGCATACGCTGGTTTCAACAGCGTGCAAGTACGAGCCTTCAGTCCTGCACGGAGATGCGAGTTAGACGGTCACTGGGAGCAGTTGGCCCTCGATGCCCAGGAAGAGTGGGGTTTTGCCCTGGATGCAAGCGACGCCGACTCCCTGTAGCATATCTGGTGCCAAACTCTCGAGTCCACGTGTGGCGTGTCCCGCGAGAAGCGACGCCAGCACCTAGGCTTCACCGCGAGGATTGTAGCGGCGGGTTTGGAAAGCTGGCGGCAGTTCTGTCACCAGCGTGCGTGTGCCTTATGCCCGCATGGCTGGGTTGCCCAATTAGGGAAGGCTCTTGATCAGCCCGCGCTCCAGACTCCCTGTTGCGCCATCTCTCGTCTCCTCCTCCCCCATCTGCACCCCTCGCTGCCGCCGCCGTCGTCGTCATGCTCTTTGCCCTCCTCCTCCTCCTCGGCTTAGGCCACGGTCGCCCCTCCCCTTCGGCTGGTTGAACATTACCGCGTAACTCCAACAAGCTGTCATTGCTCACCCCGCTGGTGGAACGCAGCACTGCGCCGCACGGCTGTTCACTCGGCGCTTTTTCCCTCGGTCTTTGACAGCCTGCACTGTTAAGTTTCTGTTGCGGAGCAGGAGGAGGAGGAGCAGGAGGAGGATGAGCATCATGATGCTGCTGCTGATGATGCTGATGATGCTGCTGATGATGATTATGATGATGCTGATGCTGATGATGATGGTGATGATGATGATGATGATGGTGGTGATGATGATGGAATATGATGATGATGATGATGCTGATGATGCTGGCGAGGAGGAAAAGGACGACCAAATTTGGGAGGAGGACACAGATGGGAGAACGGGGTGCTGCTGATGATGATGTTGACGGTGAGATGGTGCCGATGATGGTGATGTTTCCGATCAGGCTGATGATGTGGATTGTGGTGATGATACGGCTGGCGATGCTGATGGTGATGCGACTGTTTGTGATAACGATCACGTTAACGGTGATTGTGATGATGCCAGGGATGACGAGGCTGCTGATGACGGTTCCGATCTCGGTGATGATGGTTATGTTGTTGTTGGTGATGATGCAAATGATGATGATGATGATGATGATGATGATGATGCGACTGGAGATGCTGGCACAACTTATGATAATGCGTGTGCTGGTGAGGATTACGAGCACAGCGACGATGATGTTGATAATGAGGGCTACGAGGATGTTGATGGTGACGATGGCGACAGTGGTTATGATGGGGTTGATGGTGACGGTGACAACGATGTTCATTTTGCGGCTGATGATGTTACCGACGGTAACGATGATGATGCTGATAGTGATGATGATGTTGATGATGATAATGAGGATGATCATAACGACGACGATGATGAGGATGACCATGAGGTTGATGCTGGTATCGCCGCCAAAGGTGATGATGCTTATGATGACGATTGTTGTGGTAGCACCGACGACGATATTGACGACAATGACCAGATGCCGCTGCTGCCGATAATGATGACACTGATGATGGTGCTGCTGATGATGGTGATGTTACTGACGATGATGGTGATACTGACGACGATGCTGATGATGATGATGATGACGATAAATGATCATGCTGGTGACTGTGATGGTGGTGGCGAATGTGATGATGAGATTGTTGTGATGGTGATGCTGCTGCTGTTGATCCTGATGATGATGATTAGGGTGATGACCATGCTGCTGCTGCTGCTGATGATGATGCTGATGATGACGACGCCGACGATACTGATGATGATGCTGATGATGCTTGTGATGATGATGAGGATGCTGATCATGACAAGGCTTATGCTGGTGATGGTGATGGTGTTGATGATGCAGAGCATGATGGTATTGATGAAGGTGGTGATGACGATGATTATGCTGATGCTGATGCTGATGCTGCTTATGATGATGATGGTGATGGTGATGATGGTGGTCATGGTGTTGGTAGTGATGATGATGCTGCTGCTGCTGATGATGATGATGATGCTGATGGTTATGCTGCTGCTGATGCTGATGACGATGTCGATGACGATGATGATGATGGTGATGATGCTGATGATGATGATGATGATGATGATGCTGATGATGATGATGATGATGATGCTGCTGCTGCTGATGATGATGATGATGATGATGATGATGTGACGGTACTGGTGATAGTGACAGTATTTCTGATGATGACGGTGATGCTGCTGTTGATGATGGTGGTGTTGATGGTGGAGGAGGTGGAGGAGGATGAGGGAGCAGCAGGACATGACCACAGTGACCGAGACCACGCGGATGCACGACAAGCCCACCGTGCCTCCACCGTCCTCCTCGTCCACCGAGCAGGAGCAAGACAAACCCATCGTGTCGGTACCTCGTCGTCGTGGTCGTCGTCGTCGTCGTCTTGCCTCCTCCCTGCCCCCCCCAGCCGCCCGTGGTGATGATGATGAGGCATGCTGATGATTACGATGATGATGCTGCACCTGCTGATGATGATGACGATGATGCTGATGATGATGATGATGATGATGATGATGATGATGATGATGATGATGATGATGATGATGATGTGACGCTAATGGTGACGGTGGCAGTAATTCTGATGATGACGGCGATGCTGCTGTTGATGATGGTGGTGATGTTGATGACGTGCAGGATTGGGAGGAGGTGGAGGAGGTGGAGGAGGAGGAGGGATCAGCAGGACACGACCACAGTGACCGAGACCACGCAGGTGCACGACAAGCCCACCGTGCCCCTGGACGACAAGCCCACCGTGCCTCCACCGCCCTCCACGTCCACCGAGCAGGAGCAAGACAAACCCATCGTGTCGGTACCGCGTCGTCGTCGTCGTCGTCGTCTTGCCTCCTCCCTGCCCCCCCATCCGCCTGGTGGTGGTGGTGATGATGATGATTAATGAGGCATGGTGACGGTGATCATGATAGTCATGACGATGTTGATGATGATGTTGATGATGATGATGACGACGGGAATGATGATGATGCTGATGATGATGATGCAGGGGAGATGGGGAGGATGAGGATGAGGATTGTGAGGATGATGATGATGATGATGATGATGATGATGATGATGATGATGATGCTGATGCTGATGATGATGATGATGATACTGATGCTGATGATGATGATGATGGTGATGATGATGATGATGATGATGATGATGATGATGATGATGATGATGATGATGATGATGATGATGATAATGAGGAGGGTGCGGCGGATGATGACGAGGATGTGGATTCTGAGGCTGGTGGTGGTGATGACGACAATGATGAGGATGAGGATGAGGATGAGGATGTGGATGGGGATGATGAGGACGAAGATGATGACGAGGCTGATGATGGTGCTGCCGATGATAATGATGATGATGATGATGAGGAGGAGG